CAACCTCTCGTCAATATGCGTTTTTCGCATTGCATTGCTGCAAAAAACGCATAATAATAATAATAATAGCAACAGCGATAATGATAAAGGTACTACTCTTACTAATAATATTGGTAATATAATAGTTTCAGGCGTTATCAGCAACATTGGAAAAATGTCGCCCAGATAAGAATGTTCTGATCGAGCGTTATCGTAGATTGTTGAAATCGGATCTGGAAGCTGAGGCCAAATTTTCACTTGTTCTTTCTGAGGTTCGTTTTCCAGTGAATCTGTGGTGAAAGACCAGCAGTGCTAATTATCAGTAGAACTTAGGTGTTGATGCGAATGTGTAAAGATTGACGGAGCTAATGAAGGAGGTGGCTATGCTAATGCACCAGTGGCACATGTCGATGTAAATGTGTCAGCATGAAGGACCTGCTTTTTTATCCAGATTGAAAAGCGTTGGAATGAAATGGAGAAGAAATGCCAGAAAGCTCGGAGCAGTTCACCATCCGGTCCAGCTCCACCCCAACTACGACACGACACAGTGTGCGGTGCTTTTCGAGATCAGATTAATCTACTTTATGATTTGTACAAAATTGCAAATGATTATTTGGATTTCAAACGTTTCCCGGTATGCTCCATCAACGAATGGTCGAAACGTGTCCAGGTAGGTGGTTTGTGGCAACAGTTTTATCTTTATTATAAAAATAAATAGCAATAGCTCCATGTTGACAGCTGATGGAGATCGCGTTTTGGTGATTGGTACTTACAAGAAAATATTGCTCATCTGGACAGCTTCTGAAGAGATGGGCTACACACACTCATTAGGCAGTGAGTACCACAAACCAGTGCACGCAGCGCAGAATCCTGAGGTACTGGTATTACTGTGTTCGAGAAATGAAAGCGTCCCAAGAGCTCTGTTTAGATTGTCTAAACAGTTTTGGTGTTCTTGATACGTCGTATGAACAGCTGCCTAACTTACCTGTCGCAAACGTTGTGCTCAATTACCCGTCAAAAGTTTAAGTGACTTGAGTGATTTTGTTGGCGTTTTTTTTTTCGATCAGAACTTGATTTTTTGAAGGTGAAAAGTGCTAAAGTTACGAGGATCGTTGAATGATTGATGTGGGGATCACTTGTTAATAATGTTTTCAGAAACACGCATAAGTATACCAGTCCTGTTCTGAGTTGTTCACTTCTGTTTAATACTCACTACCTGTTCGATGTACGTGGGCCGCCTTTTCGGAGGGTGCTTATCTATTTTCTCGTAAGTACCATCACTCTGATGCACAATATCCATCGGTGACCAGCAAGACCGGCGTCATTGTCCGTTTTTTATGCGTTTTTTGCAGCAGTGCAATGCGAAAAACGCATATTGACGAGAGGTTGTCTGTGTGATTTTTATGCGTTTTTTGCAGCAATGCAATGCGAAAAACGCATATTGACGAGAGGTTGTCTGTGTGTCCGTGTGTCTGTGTGTCTGTGTGTGTGTGTGCGTCTGTCAAGCACTTTCATCTCAGAACCTATAAAGCTGCGGGGCTGAAATTTCGGGAACTTGATCTGCATGCACGTGCCGGCCCCAATCCCTAAAATGGGCGCCAAAACCCGCGTGGTACCCGCGTACGGACCTGCCAAAGTTTTTTTGGGGTCAGTTTATAACTCGAGGATCTGATAATCTAGAAGGCTGAAATCTTGTGTTAATGTTCCTCGCCCAAGCGGCTATTAGTGGGCTCAAAACCAGCCCTCGGGTAAACTCGGTACCCCCGTACGAGCCCGCCAAAATTTTTTTCGGGTAAGCTCATAACTCGGGGTTCTGAGATGCTAGAAAGCTGAAATTTTAGGGGAATGTTTCCCGTCCAAGCAG